TTGCACGTAGGCATTTAGGTGTTATTTCAGGAGGCTCTGCAAGCCTTTTAAGTCTCCTCCCCACTTTGTTACAAAAGACGCAGTCTGAACTGGAAGTATATTTGCTGCCTGGCCAGGTAAACAGCTACAGACAATAAAAAGGGTATAAAAGCTGAATTTCGGAGATGACACAGGTCCCCTGCCATGGGAAGGGTGGAAGGACAGACCACCCCAAGTGGGGCACGGCACTGCTCAGCAGTTACACGGGTGAATCCAGGCGGTAGCGTAAGTCAGGTAAGTATGGGCCTGGGTAGTTAATGCATATGCAGCAGCTGGATTTCTCAATAGCTGTTTTCCCTTCTTTTCAAACTTTGCACAAAGTGGATTTTTGTAAACTTTTGTTTAGGGTTACGAGTTTTTTTGGTGTTGCTCAGAACAAGGACAGTTTGTTCATTCCACCTGCCTGGAGATAAGCTCAATTTGCTGATAACAAGCATTACTGAGCCCATAAATGGAAGACTTTTATTCATAATCTATTCATACGGGGCACTAACAATGCTTGATGACTAAGAAATACCTGAATTTCTAAAAGAAGTAGCTTTCTCTGTAGTGGAAAGGTCACACTGCACACAGAGCTATGCAAGCAGCTGATGCACAAGACAAGTGTCACCAGTGGAAAGTTGAATAAAAAGCAAATAATGCAATTTTTTGGGTACAAAAATCACTACTAAACTCGAGATCCTGGATAAATATTCAAAATATTCTCTGTATTTGGAATCTGGCCTCAGGCCAGGCCTGGCTTGGGCAACAGAGCCTCTGATGCAAGTTTGATTCCCAACTTGTTTCTGAAATATTCTGAATATTCTGCATGCGGGCCTTAGAAAGCAGACTACAGTCTGCCAGTAGTAGGCAGGACCCCAAGAAAATTTTCTGCTGAAAAGCCAAATTTAGGAGTTCATATGTTTCTTCCCCTTAAGTACTCCATTCAATGCCATTAAAAGGGCTAATTTCCAGGGCATGGCATCCGTCCTACATTCCTCAGCCTGCCCAAAGAGAAGAAATGTGAGTTACCTGCCCAGTTTCAGATTTTTGCTTGCAACCAGGAACTGCTGGGACTTACATCCTTAAACTCTGAATAAACTGTTTATTAACAGTCATTCAAGAAACTAAGAAATATTATTTTCAAAATTTGGGAGTGTCAAAACTATACATCACACATTGTGTCTTCTCCTAAGAGAGGAGCACGGACATACAAGTGACTCCATCTCAGAACAAAGACACATTCTTCCAGAGAGACTTAAACTTTCCCACTTCAATAAAATCCTCCGCAACTGCAAGCTGTTATGCCACCCTAACGAGAGGAAGCAGAGACCTAGCATGTCAAACGGCTTCTTTGCACGACTTGATGCCGTAAATTTAACATTTCCCCTGGAAGTGCTGTTCATATGTACACTTGTGCAACATTTACACTGAATACACAATTTAATGATGTCAAAATAGCTTATTACCAGGGTCTCACCAAATTCCATAACCACATTATACAAATAATATTCCTCTCACTGAAAAAGCATGCTCATGACTCAAATTTTCTTTTACTAAAAGAACTATGTTTCTATCAGTCTTCTGTGTATGGTCAGAAGCAGATCAAGAGCCCTGCTGCGGAGAGTGAGTGTTCACACACTATGAAACAATTCCTTATGCTAAGCTGAAATCTGATCTGGAGAGCAACATCAGCAGTAAGAGACCACAGTGGAAGGTAACCTATATTTTGTTAAACCCGCCCCATATCTAACACTGAGTTTTCCTGACCCGTACTTCAGTATGGGTACTGATCAGTAACTTCTGTTATCAATTTTGCCGGAACCCTCTCACCTATACAGTTCTCTTCCAGCTCACAAGCTGCCTGAACACCAGCTTCTTCTGGGATATTTTCAGCAATGTAGATGTTTTGGAAGGACAAGAATCCAGCAATGCTATCAATTTAGCAGGATAATATTGTGTTGTTTTCTGGGCACAGAATAAATATGCTAAAGTTCATTACTGACATACAAAACCAAGAAGTCTTGTAGATAACTTAGCATTTCCAGATTCTGACCAGTTTCATGAACTTGTGCAAGGAAAGAAACATGGTATGACAAACACAGGAAGAATGAGGTTTTCTGATACCCGTTCCATGCCAGACAACCTGACTCCTTTCTCTGTCTTTGGGAAACCACACTAGCTTATAGCAAGGGAATTATTTTTCTCTCTCCAATGGACTGGGTCTAGAATGTATACAGATCTCCAACAGGTCTGTCAAAGAGGAGACCTGTGATCTCCTTGGCATTGGCAGGTTCTGGAAGTAATTTACAATTTTATCTTTAAAACTACAGCTACTACAGAAATCATTTCTGTTGGCATAACTGCTCTTGACAAAAAAATCCCTCATGATCAGTCACACCAGCAAAACACAAGCCTCCTTGAAAACAAAAAATGATCTGGAGGACCATAAAAGATCACCCATGAACTATGGAAAAGCCAGGTCCTGTTGCAGCACTAGAAGTTTCCACCTCACAGCGATGTTGCAGAGACCCTGACTGCTGAACAGGAGAGGGGAAAAGAACATGCTGAGCCCCGACAACTAGTAATGTTTCACACTTTAGTGTGGGAAAAGACATACAGATTAGCAAATCCACCCCTTCCAAACTGAATACACAATCAACTGTGACTTCTTAAGGAAACTGAGGTCCTAAACACCACCAATAAAAGAAAAAAAAAAAAAGGTAATATGAGTAGTCCGTCTCATGAAGACTAGTTACCCCAGAAAGCAAGGTACACAACCTTCTCACTCATCCTTTTTCTCTTCCCAGGAGACCCTAATCAGCACAGGTATGATGACTTCTGTACAGCATTCAGCTCCACGTCTGGAACAAGTTTGTTATTTGGTGCAAGCCTCTTCCTGCCCCTTCTGGAAGGAAGGACACCAAGCAGAGCCTAACTAGAACACATGCCTGCTTCAGTTCAGCATGTTTTGTTATGCGGTTGGGGTGTAGGGGGGTGGGGGGTGTTGGTGGTCGTTTGTGGTTTTCTTTTTTTTCTTTATTTCACCATGATTCTTTCAGGTTACTGAAGCTACAAAAACATTCAATATTTTTTTTTTTTTTTAAATGCAGAACTTGAACTGTATTTCTATTGGGAATAAAGGGGAGTGATTCATTGGGATTCAAAGGGGAGTGGAGTGAGGGAGAATAAACCTTGAAAAAACATCAGAATTCAGAACAACAGAGTGAAAGAGAAAACCCCTGAAATAAGCACTTATAGTTTATCTTGTACAAGATTTTACAGCAGATTGCCAGCACCAAATTCTTTGGAGAGTTTTTCATACTCTTCAAAAAAAAAATTAAACAGGAAAAAACAATTCAAGTGCCAGAAAAACCTGTAAGATCATGGAAAAAAACCAAAACAAACTACTCCCTTAGAAAGGGAGGCTGGAAAAAAATTAAGAAAAGTGTACCTTCGAGCATGCAGGTATTTCAAGAGATTACAGAAAGTCACAAGTGTTGCCTACAGAGATCAGATTCTTAAATTGTGTGTTACACCATGTACCTGATCATACATTCAAATTTAAGTAATGACAGAAAGGTAGCTTTTCTTGGTCCCTCTACACACTAATGTAATTTTGCTTTGAAACACCAAATAGGAAGATGCTGTACTGAAACACAAGTATCTAAACTAGTGCTTATATGTCTCAACTGATCTTCAGGTTAAAAAGACATCGGCCTTAACCTACTGTTACACTTAGGCCACATCCATCTCAGATGAACCTACCATGTGGTAGTGTTATGTTTGCACCATCAATGATTGCTTGTGCCAGTTCGTGATCATTGCTCTCGAAAGCATGCGCAGCAGCCTTGAGGGCATCCCAAATCTCCTTGCGACCTTCGAAAGCTGGTGCTGTGTCCCAAAACTCGTCTCTCTTACTGCGCAACTGTCCGTCTGTCATGGGGTAATCACTTTTCCATTTCGGCTTCTCTTTTTTCAAGGGCTGATTACGACCGAGAGCAACTGTGAAGGAGAAAAGGAGGGAAATTAAAAAAGATAACAGCACAAAGTTACTGAAGTGCCCTTTGGTTATTTAGTTTAGAATCTACGGAGATAAAGGTTACTTTCCAGCAATCCTGATCCTTTTTCCCTCGTCTCCTTCGAGACACTGCCTTGCTTCCCTTGGGCTCCAAAAACTGAGGGGCTACCTCCTGCTTGCTGATTTCACCTGCACCCCACAGCACCCCACAACTTCTCCCCAAGCCCCCTGGTAACTCTGCATCCCTCCGCCTGTGCCGTGTGTGCCTGACTGGGAGACTCACACCCCACAGACATCTTCCGAAGGCTGTAGCAGCGGTACAGCGAGAAGCTTGTTATCCCAGCACTGGGTGTAGTGAGACCACACCGCATCAGGATTGCAGCTCCATACTGCTAGCAACACCCTCTGCTCAACAAATGTGATATTCTGTTAATACAATAGTTCTAAGAGGCTAAGGATTTTTTCTGAATCATCTCCTTTTAAACAGTTTTAATTCAGAGTAAGTATATGTAGGAAGGCAAATAAGATGCACAAAGGCTAGAACTGTCAGACAGGTCCCTTAAAAATAATCCAGGAATCTATCGAGCTTTAAAAAGTGGTTACCTAATTCACAATAAACAGGCAAGCATTTGTTTCATTTTAACTACAGCTATTTTTGTGTAACAACTGGTTAAGACAATCACATAGATATAATGTTGGTGGATTAAAACTACATGCTCACTTTAAACTACAGCACTGCTAAGACTGTGTTAAACCCTTCTCTTCCCTTTCCGCAAGTAAGGGGTTATTTCAACTTCTGTTGAAAGGAAAAGGAAAAAGAAGGGAGCAAACTTCAGAGCATGCTGGGACGAATTTCTCCCTGCAAGAGTTAAAACCCCACTTCCTTCAGCCCCCTCCCGGTAGCGAGAAGCTGGCTACAACATGACCCTGTGAGGACAGTATGGGGATGAGAACCGCAACAAACCACGAACACAGTTCTCGCTACGGCTCAGTACTGCAAAACCTTGAATACATAGTTTAAATATCTCCAGAGGAAATGAAGTGTCCTTCAACAGTTAAACTAAATTTAAGTGTGTTTGCAGCTGAAAATAAGCAGTCCCTCCATGGCACAGGTCACAGAAACTGGGTGACAAGTACTGAATGCTCCTGAATGACAGGTAAGCTACACAGAACTGAAGTCAGTTAAGCATCCCCCCACATACAATGCTGGAGAGACATCCTCTCCCACACTCCCTGTGACAAGCCCTTGCTGTCCCAAGAGAGCAGAGAAGCCCCAGCTGCCATCAGGCCAGGGAAGCATGAAGAGATGCAGTCTGTCACCCCACATCCACGTTATCGAGGCTGCAGTACCTCTTACATGAACGAGCCACCACAGCTGCTGTGTTATCAAAGCCTGTGGAGCAAAGCTGCTGCTTATCAGGTGCCCTGGCTAGTCTGCAAGGATGGGAGAGCACCAGGACAAACACAAGGGTTTACATTTAGCATTCGGTATCCCATGTCCATCCTTAGAGATAAGAAGAAAAATTTCCTTTCTCCAGACCCTCTTATTTTTCTGGCAGAAAGTCGACAATAGCTGACAAAAAAACTTGTATCTCTCCTCAATCTTACTCCAGTGTTCAGTTTTCAATGGAAGAATAGTGTAATGTCTAAATATTCTTAACAGCTCTTCATCTGGACTTACGCTGTATCTCTACAGTTGACTACAAACCATACTTACGGCAAAGAGCGTGTGTGGGGGTGAGGGAAATGACTGAGAAGACTAAGTGTCAATGTATCAGAAACACTCATTTCAGTTAAGCTGTAACATTTTGCAAAACAGTATTTAATTCAAATATTCCCTTTCCTTCCTTGATTTTTTTTTCTCTGCCACAGATGTACTCAGCTGTTTTCAGAACAACACTCAACACTGAGCATTGGGCCTCGGTGCTGCCTGGTGTTGGCAGAAGGCATTTCAACTTCACACAGGCTTTAAGGAGACCAAAACACATACACGGGGTTACACCTCACACCCTTATACAATCTGACTTTATATGACCAAAGAACTACCTACCTCGATTCGTAACTCAGAATGACATTCACACTTAAGAAACTGAGACTTAAGTCATTGAAAGTAGGATATTTAAAAGAACTTCTGATGGTAAGGTGACATTTCAAACTATGTGAAGGCATTAGCCTTCTTCAAATTAAAAAAAAAAAACATAATAGAGGATATATTTGCATGGAAACAAAGTCAGATTATAATTAAAAGTAGCAAATGACAATTGCATGGCACACAGGCAACAACTCCAGCTGCTACTCTGTATCCCATGCAGAAACTAACAATAATAAAACTTCTGAATCCTTTTAAGTGACCACAAACATTTATTGCTTTTTGTTTCCATGAGATTGCTTCCATTCGCTTTTCAAAGAAGTGCTGATCATTTAACAGATTTCAGAACAGCAAACCCAAGTGTTTAAAAAACACCAAGTTTCCTGGCAAAGCCCAGCGTTCCTAGTCCAAGTCTTAGCTGAACACAGGCAAGCTGGGAGCCGATGATGGTCCAGCCTAGAACAACGGTGAAGGAGGCAGCCCAGATGAGATGGGCTGCATGCATTAAACCATATATTATGAAATTGTATAAGCACATGTTGTTAAACACTTAAACAAGGAATTATTTCCTTATTAAGGCTTAGCAATCAGCATGAAAGTTTCAGATAGAACAGGACACTGTACGAAATTTGGGTCAGTGGGCATCTTTTCTTCCGTTCTGCTTCGGCAAGCATCTGTTTGCATGTACATCCAATGAATGCTAATTCATCCCACAGGGCCCTCTCCTTCTCCCCAAACATTAATTATGAAAGCGGGTTAAAGGCACCTCCCGCAGCCTGCGAGCACGGCGGTGCTTCCTGCACACAACCCTGCCTGCCCGTTATCCAGCACTGCCACAGAAACGGCACCAGGCCATTTCTCTCCCTTGCTTCCCCCTTCGCCCAAGACAGCAGCTGAATGTATTGCTCTTCATTAGACAAGAATAGCAGGGGAGAGACTAAAGAGACACAGATCCTCACAGTCTCAAATAACTTCTCCCGGGAGATACAATCCTTCCTACACAGGCAGCGGTGATGCTCAACCCAGAGATAAATTCTTTTTTTTTCCAAGCTGGAAAGAAGTATGGTGGAAGAAAGTGACTCTATAAATGCCTCTGAAGCCAAATCCACTCTAGCAAGCCATCCGTCCCAGTACTAAGCCTTTAAACACAACTTGGCATCACAAGGCAGTATTTAAAAAGGTCTTTAGCGTGTTTACCATCTATTAGAAGTGCTTCCAGAATCCCCTAAAAGCTTTATGCCCCCAGTGAAGAAACATTAATCTCTTTAGCTGTGTGGATAGATGGAGCAGAAGGGATACAAGAAACTTGAGACGTGTAAAAAACCTAACATGTGGAAAGGCCCAAACCTCTCACTTTCCACCTCATGTTTTAGTCACTAGAAACAGCACTACATGAATTTCCACAGTCAAAGTTTCAGACCATGTCAAAAGACTTTCCCTCTTCTGTAATAAGGCTGATAAAGACTAGCGAGAATAGGCAATGAAACAAACATCAGCAGTCTGAAACACTTTGTCAGGTATTTACAGTGTCAGTTTTATATTCCTCACTTTGGAAGTAAACTAGAGCTTAAAAGAAAGTGTTGACTTCATTTAAGACAATGCACATTAGAGGTAACCAGCTTGCAAGATCTGGAAGAGAAATAACATCCACATTAATTTTTCATCTTACATCACTTCAACCTAAGTCAGAAATTATTAATATGCTGCGTGAAAATATGAATAGTTTTATAAATGCCAAAAAGGCATGTTCTCCATGAAGCAATAAGGAAAGTTACCCATGTCAGTAAGAAGCCAATGGTTGATATTTTTGGCAAGAGATTTATTTAGAAGAAAATCTGAAGACCATTAACAATCTACTCTTCAACAAGGAAAAGATCAGCACCCTAGCGATGCTTCAAAATCATTTAGGCTTTTCTGGCTCCAGTAGCTCACAGATATTCAGGTGGTACTGCACAGCCCAGAAAGGGGAAAGGAATTGCTGACAACCTGCAGGACCCTGCTGAAGAGCAGCCTCTCTCAGTAAGGAGCAGCCACAAAGGCCACTATGTGGCCCTACAGAGGATTTTCCCAGGCTGCTCTGAGGGGTTACTGGTTACAGATGCTCTTTACCCTCCTGGATACTGGACCTCTTCTAGCCAGAGTGGTGCCTTAAAGATGCCTCCTGCGCTGTTTCTGTTCCCCTCCTGTCTGAACTGCACTACTACTTGCACGGTACGCAGAGCACAGGCTCCAAACATCATTTTCAGGACTTGCTATGGTCCATTCAGGTTAATGGCAGCAGAAGCACCAGCTAAGAAGGTGTGAAGTCCTGATAATTACTAGCTGCATAATGAAGTTCCCAGTGCTCAGCATGCATATGAGAGAAAACTCAATCCTATCTAGTCAGGCACTCCAGGAGACAGCGGAGGCTGGGGCGGGATAGGGGACTGGAGTGAGGTGTAGCGGGGTGGGGAATCAGGCAAGCAGGGAGACAAGGCTTGTCTGAACTCAGCGTCCACCCGTCCGGCACGTCTGCCAGGCACGTCTCCCTACACATGCAAAATCCAAGCACTGCTTGAGTCCCCTCCCCAGTCAAGTGTCCCTTATTTGCTTCCTACCTCCAAGTGACCTAAAAACACTGGCAGACAAGCAGTAGGCTGGTTCTGTCCCATCAGTAGAATACCCTTCACAGGCAGAGGAGTATCGCGGGATCCTGGAGGTATCTATTACTGTCTGAGCCACTAACCTTAGCTCGTGGCAAACTAGAAAGCCTTATTTTTCAGAAGGAACGATGTATTTCTCCAGTCCTTGCAGACTATTTTATAACTTGAATTATGAAGGTTTGTTTCCCTTCCCTGAAGCTTCCCATCAAAGCAATGGAATCAGTAAGGTTATCTATGCTTCTTTTCAGT